GGTTGTACCTCTGGTGAGTCTATTTACCTGCGTACTTCATACTGATATTCAGGTAAATACAGTATTACTTTGGACTTCTGGCCATCTCTATGTTAATAGTGACGCCGTACATTTGTCTGACAAATTGGGGAGATATCTTCTTACCCCCACAACAGCATCGCAAAATCTCACGTATATGGTACTTCTCTTCACCCTCTCATACGTCCACAGCACTCAGACTCTTGCATTTCAGGTTCTCCATCTTCCAGGTCGTCGGAGCCTGGGCCAATACTGGAATGTCTCTTGTAGACCAAAATATGGTACCCTTCCAAGCGGCATATCTCATGATAGTAGTCTTGATTATATGCGTACTTGCGGGGAATACGGCTTTTGTGAGTAACGTCTATTCTTTATGTCAGAGCGTACTCATAAATTCGCGTAGCCAATCTTGTAAGTAGTCCTATCTATTAATGGCTTTTGTTGATATACCGAGTTACTTCTCTAGTCTACGGTTCATGATGTGAGTAAAAGCATCCCCATCTTTTATACAAACTACTTATCCGTCGATAGATGGTCAATAACAAAAATCTTCCCCACCCAATCTCGGACCCGTGAATCATTGCAGTTTCTTCTAGATCATCCTCGACGTTGCTTCATTACTCTTTTCCCCTCCCGACAGACTTGGCTTCTGTTTTCGATTTTATTGTTTTTGGAGTCAGTGGTTCTCATGGCGTTTGGTGATATTGGCTGATAAAGAGTCATATAGCGTCGTTTCGTTTGTGGGAGATCTAGTCCTCAATATAAACAATCCCGCCACAGATGCGATACCTGTCGGTACTCGAATCGCACTAGCATTCTTATCAGCAGCCGCTGTTCGCAATGCTGGCTTCCAAGGTATCGCGGTATCATCGTTAACGCCTGCTACCCAGTACGTGTGTACCTAGCATGTAGCTGATATCTTCTGATGGTGCATTTTCAGAGTGCTTTACGTGATAATGATGTATATTTCTATATACCCGATTGCGCTGAGGTGCGTGTTATCTCTGCCGGCCATATCCTACCAGAAAGTGTTAATCGTCTCCCAGTGTCCGCGCTACGAACGTGTACGAAGAAAACTCGCTAGGCATCTATCGTCCCGACGCAAGGGAAGAGGATCATCAGCATATGCCAGATGCGACCGAAAAACGGGTGGCTATATGGGGGATATATCTCATGCGCCATGCTCGCAAACAGCTGTCATTTGGTACGTACAACTCTTGAGCTTCATAGTAGTCATTACCGCGAGAGTCTTACTGTCACTTTCAGACATGTGGTGGTTAGCGTTCTCTCTTTTCTTGATTTGCATCATCGAGGTAGGTCGGCACTATCCCCATTTTATGGAAAGAAACTCAGATAGGCAATCAGCGGGACGGGCTTGAGGATCCAGAGAAGCCATGGTTCAGCGTCTTTGCACTGAGTAAGTAGATTTATCACCTTGCAGTCACTGGCAGCTCTATGAACAACACGTTTCACTTTCAGTCTTTGAGCTAGTCTCGGCCTATGGAACAGTCGGCCTTAGTTTTGGCCTTCCGATCGTAAGTCGTTTTGCAAGAATGGAGAAATATCGCTCAACGAGCTGCATAGGCCAATTATTCTCTTTCAGGCGAGTTCCATACTCTATCGAAGCTAATAACCTGTGCGGTTATGCTGCGAGGGAGACATCGTGGACTACCTATCGCGCTCGATAGAGCTGTTCTACTGCCTTACGAATTTATCAAGCGTACCGAAGGTGGACGCCATTCTCGATCTGCCGATCACACGGAGCCCATCACAGCTCAGGAGGCCGTCCATGTCGAAGATATCGAAGTTGGTGGTGAAAAAGATGTAACAGACATCGCATAATGTAACATGTATTTGGGGCATACCAGCACGTTGTTGTATTTTATCAGTCTTATATATGCGTATATCGTAGCAATATGTCCAAGGTGACTCGGGAACATCATGATGCGCCGAGTACTATCAAAATGAAGTGTTAATTGTGCGGTGCCTGTGAGAACTTAGGTACGGATTTTAAAACACTGAGTTACGACTAAGTGAACCGTTGAACGTACCTCGAAGCTAATGTCGCATATATCAGGCTCAAACATTTTTTTTCACGGACATGCCTGTGCTGTTCAAGTTCGTGCGGTGAACGAGCCCCGCTGCGCTCGGAGCGCTCACATGGCATCCGTCTGCGCTGTGAGCGCTAGTGCATCTAACAAGACTCGGACTCGGAGGTCGTTAGATGCCAGGTTGCCAATTGTCCAACGACAACCGTTAGCGAACAATGCTGGCGTTCTTACTCCTTATATTATGCGTTACTCCCATCTATGCTGCCAGAAGCAGGATATTTCAACTTCGCACAAGCAATCGACTGCGGCGTAACGCGTTACTCAACGCTTTGGGTGTAAAGGAAACGGAGAAGACACGGATCGTTGGATTCTTTCACCCTTACTGGTAAGTCATCACTCGAATCTCTGTAATCCTATTCTATGACTCTGATCTCACGTAGTCTGTAAAGCAATGCAGGTGGCGGCGGGGAACGAGTGCTATGGACGGCGGTAGCGCTGTTGCAGCGGACGGAGCCTGACATTGTCAGTGTCGTCTACAGTGGAGACACTGATGCCACCAAGGAGGAAATTATAGCTAAAGTGAAGGTATGCGATGCTCGCTTTTGCTGAACGAACAGGATCAAAGACTGTGTCCAGTCTAGGTTCGATATCACACTGTCCCCCTCGAGCCTTCACTTCGTCTTCCTACACAAAAGGTACCTGGTGGAAGACTCCACATGGCGGCGGTTTACACTACTCGGGCAAAGCGTAGGCTCAATGGTCCTTGCTTGGGAAGCAATGGCAGCCTTGATACCAGATCTCTTCATCGGTAAGCCTAGCCCACATTGTTTCAACTCGATTCCAGTCATCACTGGGCATAACTCCTTAGATACGATGGGTTACGCCTTTACATTCCATGTTGTGGAATTGCTCGGTAACATCGCGGTCGGCGCTTACGTTCACTACCCTACAATCAGCACAAATATGCTCGCTCGTGTGAAGTCGCGAAAGGCAGGGCATACCAACTCGGACACAATTTCCTCCTCATCGATTCTGAGTCAAGGAAAGCTTTTGTATGTACGCAGATACATCATGACGTCCTTCTCCTCACAATATCCCAGGTATTACCGAATCTTCATGTACTACTACGCCTACTCTCTTCGTCAAGCCGCTTTTCTCATGGTCAATTCCTCCTGGACGAAGAACCATGTAGACGCCATTTTACAGCACACAGACCCCCTGTTAGATTTCTTACATTTGTTCTCACCTCTTACTCTTCTCCGATTACTCGGGCCTGCTCGCGTCTCTCTGCGGTCCGCACGAATAGTCTACCCACCCTGCGATACTCGCAAGATGGTCCAGTTCCCTCTGGAAGGCCGAGAGCGTGTGATTCTGAGCGTGGCCCAGTTCCGGTACGCAATCCTCCACTTCTTGCGCACTAACGCCTGACATAGTCTACGCGAAGGCCTGAGAAGGATCATCAGGCACAGCTCCACGCCATGCGCCAGCTGCTAGAGAAGTATCCGGAGTATAAGAGTAACGGCGATAAGGGTGTCAGATTGGTCCTCGTTGGCGGCAGTCGGAATACTGAAGACGCCGCTCGTGTCAATGGCCTACGCGCTCTTGCCGAGCAACTGGAGATCGACGTTCGTGCAGGTGCTTCTCCCGCTGATTGCTAGCTGACCACGTTGACCCATATCAGTCATATGTGGAATTTATTGTGAATGCGTCATATCCGGAGATGCTCGGCTGGCTTTCCCAGTCGAGTGTCGGCTTGAGTACCATGGTCGATGAACATTTTGGAATCAATGTCGTCGAGTTTATGGTCAGTCATTTCCTTTGGTTTCTTTCTTCGCAATCTCACCTGTCCTGTCTACCAAAACTTGCAGGCTGCCGGTGTCATCCCAGTTACGCATGCCTCTGGGGGACCTCTGAATGACATCGTGGTTCCATTCAACGGACGGCCAACAGGTCAGTAATCGCCTTGGCTCCTTCCCATCCTACACATGGCTGAACGCTTTTGTACTCCAGGTTTCCACGCCACCAACGCCGACTCTTTTGCCGATGCAATCCATCGTGTCCTCACGCTCTCTACAGAAGAGGAACTGGAGTTCCGTCTACGTGCGAGAACGTGGGCGGTTCAAAGATTTTCTGAAGAAGAATTTGAAAAGGGATGGAGCGCGAGCGGCTGGAGAAGCTCGGTCCCCCGTTGAGGTGTCAGTGGGAAGAAGCGCTTGGTTTTTTTCTGTTATAGCCTGCATGCTACAAATTGACACAATTCACTGACTCGGTTTGAAACGTAGTGTTGATCGATACGGCCGTTTTAGGATTTCACATATTCAACGCGCTGAAGAGAGTTGTGAACCCCGAAAGCGAGATGCGGTCCTAAACTGTTCTCCTAGAGTCTAGCAATCACCGAGTCTATTAATTGCGGACGACCCTCAAGACCCCAAGTTTGAGTCGCAGCCTAAACCTTGAAGTCAAAAGTAAGGCTCCGACCCGTTATATCACTGACTACTCTTTATATAGTAGATAAAGAGTTTTACATGATGTTATGAGGCATGCCATGTACGTTGGAATATGCATCAATGTCCCTCACATAACTTTGCATCGATACCGCGATTGCGCCTGTGGCTTCGTTGAGTGGCGGTTCAAAAGACGGGCGCTTATTGATACAATGCAGAGTCCCATCTACTCAGTAGAACCCTAGCTTGAGATATGCTGTGGAAATCTAGTCCGTAGAATTCCGAAACATAACAGGAAAGCTCTTCTACATTGTCTCTATCCTCTGACGGATCAAAAAGGACATAAATTAGTGGCAAATTTACCCTTTACTCTTTACGAACAGTTTACAACCCTCTCTCTTCATTGAAAATATCAACGTCAAAATGAAGTGAAGGGTTTAAGGGTTGGAGCCTTCAAGTCAAAAGTTGGTTCAGAAAAACAAAAAGATTCCCATTAGCCGATTTGAACGACTGACCTCGTCATTACATAATAATACTAGTGACGCGCTCTACCAACTGAGCTAAACGGGATATATTATATGGATGTAAAAAATGTTATTCAACTGATTGCTATGCACTATATGTCTGGTCACTGTATATGTGGCATGAAAAAGACTTGTCAAAAAAAGGCTTATACATTGGGGTATTTGCTGTCTTTATCTAGCTAATCTTGACGACAACCTCATCCACCCTACCCTGGATCTCTTTGATATTCTTGTACCCTGAAAGACCCAACGTTATTTCTAAGTCGGCCAGAGTGCTCCTCAGAACTTCCTCAACACCGTCTTGCCCGCCGACAGCCAAACCATACATGAACGGCCGGGCCACTTCAAAAAAAAAAAGGTTGCTTATTGAGTACAACGTACAACGTACAGCGCAGAGCGGACCCACGTACGAAGAACAGCTTGAGCACCAAGCGCTATGGCCTTTATGATGTCGCTGCCCGTGCGAATTCCAGAATCGAAAAGGACGGTGAGCTTCCCGCTTGCCTGCGCAGCTCTGATCTTCGGTGAGGAGCAGATCTTGTGCAACGCCCAAATAGAGGGCACTGCGCCGTCGACCTGCCTTCCGCCTAAGGATCGATATGAGCAAGCTGTAAAAAGAGACTCGGGATAACCGGGACTTGGCACCTACCGTGGTTGGAAACCACTATACCATCGACACCATAGTCCATTGCCATCTCGGCGTCCTGAATAAAACAATCGTGAGCGAGCGCACGAGGACCCAGCTGAAGTCCGAGATGAACGGAAAAATACCTGAACAGCAAGTATCCCCTTTAGAATCAACGGACCTTCCCAATTGGCCCTCAAAAATTCGAGGTCTTCCCAGCTCTTGAAAGTCCCCGAGTTCGTTTGCTTCAACCACTCGGCTGCCATCTTCATTGTACGATTGGTTTTCTCGTCACCCTGAGCATGTAATGCCGCATATTTCTCTGGGTCGTAAGGGAAGTCCGGAACGTCCATGATTGGTTCCTCGTTATATTTTCCCATGAATACAGGGTCAGACAGCCCCACTTGGGCACCTACTCCGTGTAGGAAGGGGAGGTAGTTCTTTTCGAGGTCGTGTGGGCGCCAGCCAAGAAGCATCGTGTCTAGGGTGACAATCAGGGCGGTAAACCCACTGTCTTTCGCACGCTGCAATAGCGAGAGAGTGGCATCCTTGTCGACGGGCCTGGATATGTGAGCCAATGAATCAGCAAACCAGCTTGAAATGAGAATAAGGTTTCATAGAAAGGAGATATGTAAATCTATGAACCTGGAATGTGACCGTACATCGGACGACAGGTCCTATTATCTATCAGGTGACGCGATGGCGGTTTATAGAAGACAACGAAGTCAGGCACAGTGGATTTAGCTGCGAAATGGAAGCGGGGCCGAGGAGCAATTCTGGGAAGGCACAGCAACTTATTTCGGCACGACCGGCAGAGAAAACTCACCAGTATAGCTGGTACCATCGATGACCGGAGCCATTTGCTTTCCCAACGGATTCGATAGTCCGAGTTGATGCGGTACTCATCACATACGTAACCCCCACATTACTAGCCGCAGTAGCGGTAGCAATCTCACCGTCTGCATGGACAATTCCTTGCACACCAACTGGCGCAACAATAATGGGAGATTTATATTTCACCCCGAAGAGAGTCGTCTGGCGGTGGGGTATTAGCATCCTACACCATGGAATGATTCAACAGCTTACATCTAAATCCCTCACTGTAGCGTCGCGCAGCATACGTGGGATGATCTTCCACTTGTCAAGCTCTTGTCGGTTCGCAGCGTACGCCGCATAAGTACCAGCACTTCCAAAGACGTACATAAACGCATCTAGGCAAAATTCAATCAACCACGAAAGAAGAAAGGACTGTGCCCATGCTAACCAGGACGATCCTTGAGCTTCTCTCGAGCTAGTTGCTCGATGCGATCAACTGAATATGTTCCCAAGGTAGGTGGCTTCTTGCCCACATAGACCTCGAGCATGTAGTTTGACCACGGCTTGTGGTCCGCATCGTGAGCGAGTTTGCCAGCTTGTGACATAGTATCTGTGATAGAATCAAGGGAGAGGTTTGGACAGAAGGGCCCTCGCTTGATGCAGACGTGACACTTTATGTTATACGGTGTTTCCGGAGCTTCTAAACTGGCTGGGAGTCAAATCCCTCCGCTGGGCGAGTGATGGGCTGGAAAGTGGAAAGTTGTATGACGCTATGAGACTCGAAGATACATGTGTCACCTCGGAAAGATAAGCCCCCTGGGTGTCTGACATGTCGCCACGGGTCGCGGGGTCTGCGTAAGAACCGGAGACTCTGTTGTCCGATGAACCCGATGACCTGTTGGTGTTGATATTAATTTCTAAAAAGACTACAAGTGGCACATATAGCAACCCCAGAGCACATTTAATTGGCCGGCCGATTGATCTACGTCCGGAAGTCGGCTTCATACTCGGTGTACAGTCAATTGAGCGACCTGCCAGATCCCAAGATTCAGAACCGCCTAAGTACCCGGAAAGGCAGAGTCATTGAGCAAGCGAAGCATTATCGAGCGAGCTATCAGGAAGGCGTTGACTAGGCACCGGCAGTTGTACGTTCAGAATTCTTTGCGCTCGACCAGAGACAGACATTTGGGGACCTAAATGGTATTTTGCGAGCTTGCGGGGATAGGGCGACCTCGCCGTTACCCAGGAAGGATACTGCATGTACTCCGGGTACGGGAGGGTCAGGTCCACAGTACGAAGATCACCAAGCGAGGTAGTAAGAATTGATTTCGGATTGACCAGCGCAGGACCATACGGAAATAACTATGGATCCCGATCCGAGTTATGTTCACCCGTGGGCCGTCTCGCCCGTTGTGAAAGAGTCCTGACTTGGAAAGGATCCACGACCCTGGATCAGACTTGTTCGTCAGGACGTCATCCATACGTTTCGTTATGTAGAGAAGCAGGCATCGGAATTCTACAGGAGTCAGATGGTCCGTTAGTACTAGGTTAGTCTTTCTCGCGCGACGCATCATGGGAACATATTGTTCGGCACCTGCAACAAAAATGGCTAGTATACTTGCAGCCACCAGGCTCCACCAGGCCTTTCCTTGAAAATGTGCTCAGAGTGAATCACTGATCCGGTGAACTTTGCGGAGGTTGCGTACGAAGCTGAACTTGTTCGCAGTGACTATCACAACGTAGTGTCACATGTGACATAAATCATGATGGACCGTCACAGTTCCCTTGGCTGTGTGATAAAATAAACGAGAAACATCGTGTAAAAGCGGTAAAAAGCTGCAGAAGCAGAAGCAGTGGTCTTTCACTGAACTAAACAAGTCGGTAGGTAAGCTCAATGCTAATTCGGTTGCCTCCGTTCTTGCCCGTCCGCACTTACCTCGAAGTTTTGGAATAGTGACCCTTGGCTGTGGTCGGCTCCGAGCCAACCATATTGCCGTTGGCAAGGAATTCCATGCCAAGCTCCAACGTCTCGGAGACCAAGCAGCCAGACGTCTACCAGGACTGTCTGGCCTGTCGCATCGTCGGCACCGCGGCCTTAGGTGGTGTTGGCATCTATGCTCTGAACCAGTCTCGTGCCCATGCACCTGGCTCAATAGTTGGCAAACGGATCATGGCGGGTCTGGGTGTATGTGCGTCGGTTTTCTAGAAAAGGCTCTTGGCTACTTCTCGCTGTAAATGTCTCACTGATTATCACGTTGTATTCTAGGCTTCCTGGTGGCTAGTGCGCTGCGTTGGTCGAAATAAACATGAGAACGTCGCAGTATCTTGGACTGTTTACTTGGGAAGAGATAAATTTGGGTTTGCTTGATATTGTTCTTAACTAGGCTTAGGAAGGAATCATCCAATGTTCAACTTCCTAAACTGCAACACAGTTCCGTTCCGGTCCAGGCGTATCATTCTTGGGATTGCGAGATTGCTACTTGTGCATTGCAGACCCGTTCAATATAAGTCTATCAATAATCTTAGCTTCTTTTTTATATCTCCGTGCTCGCTCATGTTCTTTTCCTTCTCAGCCCGGCAGTGGCAGGTGTCCCCTGCTGGTTCAGTGGGAAGCTTATACCATCTTCTACTCTCCCGCATCGGGTATCCGGTGCGAATACAATTTGACAGAATATCTCATCCTATTAGGACCACTTAGATAAGAGATAGACCCTTGACAGAATCGGTTGGAACGTTCCACGAAAAGAAGCGCGATATCCAGGTCCAGGAGTGCAAAGAGTAATGTCTTACATTCGACCAATGACTTTGCGTAAAAGACTATCCTCCGAAAGACGGTCTACGTTCCCCCAATTCGGATTCAGCATCCGTATCTACCCACCCGTCCCCCTCACTCGCGTCCACTTCTGGCATCTCTTCACCCCCTTTTCCCAACACTAGCTGCTCTATACTCACCGGCGATAGATCAGCCTCTTTGGCGACCATGTCCTTGTGCCGCTGATGGGACTCATGCTGGACCGTATGCGGCCACCTCAGTTCTTCCTGAGGTCCAAACACATCTTCGGGCTGAGTAGTATCCCTCGGCCACTGGTCGTCCCTCTCCCGAGCCGAAGAGGAATGACCCGTGCGCATGCCGTCTTCATTTGCGTTCACCCGAGACCTTGTATTCTTTACTTCGTGTAAATGAGCTGTACGGGCCCATCGCTTTGCCGACTTCGGAACAGGACCTATCGTGCCTGTGCTGAAACTTTGTATCATGCCGCTTCCTGAATGGGCACGTTGAATAGGCGGACGAGCATCTGAGCCCAGGACAATGGGGAAGGTACTGGTTACAATCGTGGGAGTCAACGGACGGTTTTGAGGACTACTATGCCGTGATAGATGGGTGCGAAGAGAAACAGGGGTCCGCGGTCTTGCGTGCATGCCGAGCTTGCGACTACTTGTGATAGGATGTGGGCGTCTGCTCTTGGCATAGCCATCTGCAGTCTGCACGCTTTGCGAAGGGAACTCTACTTTCACCTGGAGGTCTATACGATAGTAAGTTCACTGATAGAGACATTCTGGGATGGGGAAATTCTCACTAGTTGGCTTTTGTGAGACATCTGTGG